TGTAGGGAAGTGGGTCACATGGTTCAAAAAAATTCCCTATAACTTCACAGGAAAGGAGGCTGTGAATAGGAGAGGGTGGATTTTTACCAGTAGACCTGCTGGCATCAAACCCCGGCTCTGCCTCTTGTCGATCTGACCACACTATCCTGTGGAGCCCGCTCCTTCCTCTGTAGAATGGGCTGTTGCCTCTGCCCTGGCAAGGCCGGTGTGGGGACCAAGTCTGCCCCCAGAACACTCGGCACTGTGCACACATGCACTGAATGAACAGCATTATCAGTGGCCTTATTTTAAGTGAATTTGTAAATTCGGGCCTCGCCTGTGTGTCTTCCTAGTTAAACCCATTCCTCCCAGAATGTCCTTGGACGAGCTGCTGAATTTACTTCAAAGCTGTGTTTTCCTAAAAATTGGAAACTTGGTCATCTCATGGGATGAGGTGTGGATGTGCACCTTCCCCTCCCTGTGGAGGAGTCGCCCTCTGCTGGGAGGTGATAGCGCTGCGCCCCCCGCCCTCCCGCAGCCCTGCTCGCCAGCCCAGCACCCACCTTGGCCTCATGGGAAGCTCAAGTGAAACCTTCTGGGGCTTCTCTTTTTACTGGGAAGCGTCGAGCAAGCACTTGGCCATCTTTACGAAAAAAGTTTTCCTCACTTAAGAAAGTATCACATGTGTGCTAGGGACATTTCTGAAAATAAAAAAAAACAGAATCCAAATACACATAATCCCACCACATAGAAATAACCATTATTAATCCTTCTAGTCTTTTTGCCTTGGCAAATGACATACATATCTGTCTTTATATATAATACATGGGTATTTGATAAAGGTAGGATCATACGCTGTGCACTGCTTGGGGACCTGATTTATTCAGTCTATGATATATTTTGAATGTTTCGGTTATTAAATGTTCTTTGGAAACATAATTTGCATTAGCATTCCATCCCCTGACTTCTGCCTCAGTTCTGTCACTTACAAGCCAGGGCTCACTATTCCTTCCCTGGAGGGCGGGTGGGGGGCTCTCTGACCCTGTGTCCCTGCAGCCCTGCCCAGCGTCACGAAGACAGGTAGCCAGGGGCACAGCCACCAGGTTGGCCATTGGCCCAGAATCCCAGGACCAGTCACCTCACCTCTGAGGCGCAGGTCACCACCTGTATAAGGGTCCTGGGTAATCACCATAGGCTCATTTCTGGGGAAGCCCTTGCACAGGACAGGGTGAGCAGTCACCACCTGATGATTCCCCCAACTAGGCTCTGGCCAGTCCGCTGGTACCACCTTCCCAGGGCAATCCAGGAAGCGCAATAAGTGACAAGATTCACCCCACCTTGTTTCACAGGGTTTTCCTGACCAGTCCTCCCTCCTGGGCCTCAGGCCAGCCTGCTCCCCTCCCCGGTCATCCCTAGGGCCAGCCATGCTTCATAACACACATCCTCTTGTCTCCTGGACATCCAACACACCCCAGTGGCCTCACTGCTGCCCATTCTGACACAACATACCACCAGTGACAGGGACACCGATGTTGAGTAGGGAGGGTCCCTGCTGGGAAAACTGCAGGTAGTCGGGCCCAGCCATGGGAGCAGGCCCCAGCCAACTGAAGGGGAAGAAGCCCTACCTGAAGGCCAAGAGCCAGGCTGGCATCCATCCCTCTGTAGGAACTGGCCTGGGGTCACTGGGCCGGGTCAGCAGGCTGTCCCCACTCCCTCCAGATGCAACCTGATCTCAACCCAAAAGGAGAACATGGCCTGAGAGAACCAGCCCAGCCTGGGAGTTTCTGAATGCTGAGACTTGATCCAAGTGCCCGTCAGTCACTGGCAGGCGGCAGGGGAGCAGGTGGCAGTCCCAGAGATTTCTGGTGACCAAGTGACTGATGGGGCTCAGCCTCAGCATGAGAGCTGCTGTGAGGCGGCCTGGCTGACCAAACACTGGTGTGGGATGAGAGGTGACCTAGAGCAGGTGATAAACAGGGCATCAGAATTCAGTTTCCAGGTGGGACTGGGGACAGGGTAGGAACCAATTCTGCTTTCTTATGTCTCCCAGCACCAAGCCCAGGGTCTGGCAAAAGAAGGGCCCTGGGCCCTCTGCTGCGATACTGTTCTGACTAGTGGTTCAGTGCATGAACGACGAGTGAGTGGGTCTCCGAGACTGATGACGGGTGCCCACTAGACTCAAGACTAGCAGGTGTGAGGGCGGGAGGGGAGCCTGGCTAACCCACCTTGCCTGCCTGCTAGCAGGCGAGAGAGAAGACCCTGCAGTGGTCTGGCAAGGACTGGCCCTCAGGGACAGCCCGGAGGGGAGGGAAGCGGCCCAGGTGGCGCTATGGTCTCTGGCAGCAGGACAGCCCAGTCACAACTGCAACCTCCAGAAACACCTGGACCTGGCTGGCAGGCAGCAGTGCAAGAACTGGGATTTATTTTACCAGGAGAAACGTCCAGGAGCCACACTGGTGGGCGCAGGAGGGGCCCTGGCAGCAAAGGCCGTGCACAGCCGTCTATGGTGGGGAGAGCAGCACCCGGGCCCATGGCCACACCTAGGGAAGAGGCAGGGCGAGGCCAGGCCGCGCCTGCAGAGGAGCTGCCCCACACTGACCCCGAGGAAGGGCCAGGACACAAAGCCCTGCTTGCTGTAAACAGGTTCCCCGGGGCTGACAGCCCGACCTCTCACATGTACTCCCCACAGTCGGAGATGATCACCTTCTGCTTGGGCTTCCCATCCTTGCTGCCCTGGGCCTTCATGGGCGGAACAGAAGAGGAGGATGACAGTAAAGGGCGGCTCAGAGATACCCGGTCCCCCTGCCCATCCTGAGCAGCAGCAGCCGAGGCCGCAGAGCCCCCGCTCCTGCTCTCTCACATGGCTGTGCACCCAGGGCCCGGGCGGCCACCCACCTCAATCTGCCGCAAGACGTCCAGGCCTTCTGTCACCTCCCCAAACACCACGTGCTTGCCGTCCAGCCAATCTGTCTTGCCACACGTCAGGAAGAACTGGGAGCCGCTGGTGTCTGGGCCAGAGTCGGCCATGGAGAGCAGGCCTGGGGGAGAGAACGACCAGGTCGGCTCCTGGCCCTCAGAGGACGGCTGTGCAGACTGTTGTCAGCCTTTCAGTCAGGCAGGCTCAGACTCTGGGACATAAAGAATTTTGTCTTCCACTCAGTTGATAGTCAATGAAATGCTGAGCAGGGTTGTTTCAATCATTTTATACTGATTTGTCTTTTCATTCTTTCATTCAACAAATATTTCTATTCCTAGCCATGGTGGAGCCCACAGTCTAGTGGACGAGTTACTCACAAGTTAACTGTGGATTCATCTCAGGAATGCAAGGTGGGTTTAATATCCCAAAACCAATGTAATAAACCATATCAATAGAATAAAGGAAAAAATGCACATTATCATCTCAATAGATGCAGGAAAAAATCCAACACCTTTTCAAGATAAAAACATCCAACAAACTAGGAATAAGAGGGAACTTTGTCAGTCTGATAACATCTATATCTACAAAAAAAAAAGGTAAAACACTAGATGTTTTCTCCCTAAAATCAGGAATAAGACAAAGATGTTTGCCTTTGCCACTTGTATTCAACATTATTCTAGAGATTCCAGCCACAGCAACTAGTTTCCTCACACCCAAAAAAAGAGAAGGCATACAATGGGGAAGAAAAATGTAAAGCTATCTCTATTTGCATATGACATAATCTTAGAAAACCCTAAGGAATACACTAGAAAATTACTAGAACTAATAAATACATTCACTAGGGCTGCAGGAGACAAGATTTCTATATGAAATTAATCATATTTCTATATACTAGCAATGAATAACCTGCAAATGAAATCAAGAAAACAATTTCATTTACAATAGCATCAAAAAAGAATAAAATACTTAGGCATAAATTCAAGAGAAGTATAAAACATATACCCTGATAACTATAAAACATACCGAAAGAGATTTTAAAAGATCTAAACAAATGGAAAGACATCCTATGTTCATGGCTTGGAAGACTTAACATTGTTAAGATGGCAACACTTCCCAAATTGATCTACAGATTCAATGTAATCTCTATCTAAATCCCAGCTGGCTTTTTCGTAGAAATTGAAAGCTTATCTCAAATTCACATGTAAATGCTAGAGCTCCAGAAGAGCCAAAATAACCTTGAATGCACAGTGGTGTGACCACTTTGGAAAACAGTCTGGCAGTTCCTCAAAATGGTTATCATGCTCTAGCAATCCCAATTCTAGGCAGATACTCAAGAGAAATAAAAACATACATCCATACAAAAACTTGTATATCAATGTTCATAGCAGCATCATAATAGCCAAAAAGGAGAAACAGCCCAAATGTCTATCAACTTATGAACAAACAAGTAAATTGTGGTATATACATATACTGGAATATTAATTGGCAATAAAAAGAATGAAATATTGATGCATGCTACATTGTACATGAACTTTTAAAAAATAGTATGCTAAGTGAAAGAAGCCAATCACAATAGCCTATATACTGTATTTTATATATATATACACCCTCCCCCTTATTTATATTAAATGTTCAGAACAGGCAAAATCCATAAAGACAGAAAGCAGATTAGTGTTTGCCTGGGGCTGAGGGACAAGGGGATAGAAAGTGACTGCCAAAGGGTGTGGAGTTTCTTTTGGGGGCAATAAAAACATTCTAAAATTATACGTGGTGATGACTGCATAACATTGTGAATACATTAAAAACCATTGAAATGTATACTTTAAATGGGTGAACTGAATGGTATGTGAATTCTACCTCAATGAAACTGTTATTTTAACAAATGGAGAATTATGCTCTGAAATAGTGAGTGAAACCTAGTGGCACAGACATTTGCTCAGCAAATGTGAGCACCAGAGGCCGTTTCCACACACACACACACACTCTCTAGTGACAGTATCATGGAAGCCTTTCTGGAGGAAGTGACACCTGAGTTTAGTCTCAAAGGCCCAGTCTGGCAGGGGCGGAGGGGGCTAGCGCGAGGAGCTGCAGCTTGTCTGCGGCAGCGAGAAACCCCTCCCCTCATGGCTGGGCCTGTGCTTCCTTCACACGGGGACTGTGGCCCACCCCACTTTCAGGCCAGAGTTGATCAGGGTGCTGACACATAATGGATCAGCCCTGTGAACAACTGTTCTAAATATTTAAATATTCAAATGTTTACTTCATGTCAGACACTGTTCTAGAATACAACGCTGAACAGGAAAGACTAAGTCCTGCCCTCGTGAGGCTGACATTCTCAGAAGGGAGACAGAAAACAAGTAAGTAAAAGAGTAAATTTATAATATGTTTTCAGATAGTATATGAAGAAACATGGAGCTAATTAAAAAGAAGAGGGAGATGGCAGGAAAGCCCATTTTAGAGAGTCAGGTCAGGGCAGACCTCCTGGACAAGGTGACCTGTACACCTGACACCTAAAGGAAGTGACGGGTGAATAAAGCCTGTGGGTGCTGGAGGAAGAGCCGGCAGCTGCCTGCCACAGCCCTGCAGGGAGTGAGCTCTGGGTGCCCGAAGAACAGCAGGCGGCAGTGGGGCGCAGGGCGGGCGGTGCAGTCCTTGAGGTTGGAGGGGTGCCAGGACCCAGGTCAGCCGGCCTGCAGGACCGGATCCTACATGAGGTGTGGCCGTGGGAGGGCTGTCAGCAGGATTGCTCCATCTCACAGAGATCAGACTGTGAGGGGAAAGAGGCAAGAGTGGAAAGAGAGAGCCGAGCTTCGAGGAGGTTGGTTGTGGAGGAGGAAGGTGAGGAGTGGCTGGCCCAGGAGGTGAAGACAGATGGATGTGCCGTCCATGTGACGGAGGAGAGGAGTCAAGGACGAGTCCTAAGTTTCTGACCAGGCTGCCAGGTGGGTGGTGGGGTCACTGACTGAAACAGGGGAGATGGGAAGGAAAGGTTTGGGCACGTGTTTGGGCACAAAATGTCTGAGACACCGATGGGAAGTCCAAGGGCAGAGACGGGGGAGAACAGCATGGAGATTTACATGTGGGCCAGATAGCTTTAGCAGACATGACTGAAAGCCCTGGGATGGGATGGGACTGTACAGAGCAGTGGTTCTCAGCAGGGTAATACTGCCCCCTCGAGGCTATTTGGAAACTTCAAGGTATGTTTCTGGTTGTCAGTAATACGGGAGCAGGGAACAGAGGAATAGTTGTAAGGGAGCAGGGAATCCAGGTGTCCCAGGTGGGCCATGTCCCTCCTAATGAAGAGTTATCCTAAATCCTCTTAGACTTTCAAATGCCCAGACAACATTCATGCTGATGACAAAAATCTGTTTATAATGATCTAACTCCATTTTACATGTAAATCCAGAAATTTATTGTTTGCACCAAATTTTCCAGAAATGGACCTACCACATAAAATGAGGGCATATTCTATTTCTTTTCAGTTGGAATCTTACCATGAGATTTCAGTGTTTCAGAAAATCACATTACTGTGACTCTGGCAACATGATACACCAGTGTCAGACAGTCTACACAGCTAACCTGCTCCGGGCAGAAGTGTGTGTGTTTAAATATACTAAGCATCTGAATACTGAAATGCATATTATTTTATTCTAAATTACTTTCCTTTATAATTATGGTATAATACTATCTTTTTAAAATTGTATGTTAGAAGGCTGTATTGGAAGTGACTTTCATTTCAGCATATGATAAAGTATCAGTTCTAAGAGGTGGGCACTAGGCTAATGGGCTAAGAACCATTAAGTAAAGCGTGAGTATAGGTGGAGAAGAAAACCAGGGTTGTTGAGCTTTGAGTCCTTCCAATACCTTGGAGGTGGGGAGGAGGAGACAGGAAAGGAGAAGGCGGAGGAACAGCCAATAGGTGCAAAGAAAACGGAAGAGGGAGGTGTCCTGCCAGCAAGTGAAGAAAGGGGTTCAGAAAGGGCGTGATTCATAGTATCAAAGGCCACTGAGAGGTGGAAAGAGAGGGCTGAGGTTTGGCTGCTGGTAAGAGGGAGGCTGCTGGCATCTTTAACAAGAGCAAGGTGGGGTGGGGAAGAAAGGCTCACTGGAGGGGCTGAAGAAACAAACGGAGGCCATGATCTACACAACTCCTAAGGAATGAACCTCAAACGGGACCAGCGCGTTGGGGTGGTAGCTGGAGGGGGAACACAGGCTCAAGGGGGAGGTGTTCTCTTTTTTAAAGGCTGGCAGAGTTGCAGCATGTTGTACGCTGTTGGGAGTGAGAGTTGGCGGGAAGGGAGGTGCTGGGGGGCAGGTGGAGGATTCAGAAGGGGGATGGGATGGGCCTCAGCTGGGAACAGAGAGGGAGAACAAAGCAGTTCTGATTGTCCTATCGCTCAGTGAAATAAGAAGCAAGAGCAGCAGCTGAGATGGAGAGGGGATGGGGGTGAGGCTGGAGGTCTGAGGAGGGAGGAAAAGGACAGCTTCCTTCGCAGACAGTGGAAGGGGATCAACCAGCGACCCGGGAGGACTGCTGGGCTGTGCTCAAGGCGCCCCTAGGACCTGGCTCCTCAACGGGAGGGCTCGGGTAGCACGGCGTGTGCTTTCCTCCCACGGACAGAGCTCTGTGCCAGGTCAGCAGGACAGAGCGGGAGAAAGGCCCTGGGGCTGGAGGGCAAGAGTGAGGGCAGCACAGCTGGTGATCCCTGGACATGAGGAGGCAAACGGCAGTGTGGACGCGGGGTGGAGTGGCTGGACCATGACTGTGGGAGCATATGATGCGTTTCAAGGTCAAACACCTCAGAAAGGACATTACTGTGACAACAATGAAATCTGAATATGCACTGTACATGGCAGTATTTTATCAGTGTGAATTTTCTGATTTTGGTAACTACATTATGGTAATTCTAAAAATGCCCTTGTTCTTAGGAAATAACACACTTAAGTATTTAGTGGTGAAAGTACATAAAGTTTCCAACTTACTCTCAAATAGCTTCCCCAAAATACACATCATCTATAAATACAAACAGAAAGAGACTAGAATATGTGGGGAATGATAGTCACCAGTCAACAACTGGTGAATGTGAGTAAAATGCATATAAAGGTTTATTATGGAGGATCCTTGTTCTAGTCCATAAGCTTGAAATTACACAGAATAAAAAGTTACAAAAACAATAACAACACGTCACCGAAGTGGCTCTATGCCTCTTCCTCCTAAAAGGAGGCAAGTGTGAACCTGAATAAGCCAAAATAAAAGCCAAAACCCTTTAGAAGCCAGGCTCTAGCCAGGCTGGACACTTCTCCTCTGCTCACTGGGTGGGTCTCCTCCGGACCCCCCACCCCTCAGCTAGAACCACAGCCCATCACTGCCCCGCACAGCTATCCTGCCCCAGCCCGGCCCGCTCGTCCGCACCCGCTGATCGGGTCCCACCTGGTCCTCTGTGTTTGAGGATAAAGTTCTCATCATCAAACTTCCTCCTGTAGATGGACTTGCCCTCGGTGCCACTGTGGTCGGTGAAGTCGCCGCCCTGGCATATGAACTGGGGGATGATGCGGTGGAAGCTGCTCCCCTTGAAGCCAAAGCCCTTCTCGTGGGTGCACAGGCAGCGGAAATTCTCTGGGGTCCAGAAAGGAAAAGGTGCTCGGGTTAAAAATATGAAGTGAAACTGGATAGTTAAACCTCCAGCTCTCAGTCTCTAAAAAAGTACATATTACCTGAATTAAATGTTTACTAGGGGTATGGCATACAGACAGACTGAAGAGACCAGGGGAACACAACAGACAGTCCAGAGCCAGACCAAGGCACATACGGAAATTTAGTATTTCATTTAGTATTTAGTATTTCATTGGCATCTTAAAATCGTTAGGGCAAAGATGGACATTTTCCAAAACAGTGCTGGGACATGAGCAAACACTTGAAAAAAGTTGAAGCTGGATTCACAAACTCATTGCAAGAATAAACTTTAAATGGATCAGTTATCTAAATGTACAGAGAAAAAAATTACAAGTACTAGAGGACAACCTGGGTTGAATTCTTCTACAACCTGGGTGTATGGAAAGACTTTCCAGACATTACTCAAAATCCCAGTGCAATTAAAAAAAAAAACTACAACAACATAAAAATAAATGACGTTTTGCATGGCAAAAAAACACCATAAGCAAAGTAAAAGCAACAACAAACTGGGAGAAATACTCATTTGCAACATATATCACAGAATATCTAATACACTCAAATATGAAAAACTCTTAAAAACTGGAAGGAAAAAAGATCGAACCTAATAGAAAAGGTGGCAAAAGACATATAACAAAAAACTTTTCCCAAAAAATGATTTTTAAAAGTCATTAAATGTTTATTTATTTATTTTTAACGTAGGTCCTGGGGATTGAACCCAGAACCTTGTGCATGCTAGGCATGCACTCTACCACTGAGCTATACCCTCCTCCTGAGTGTTTAAAAAATATATTCTTCATGAATCATAATAAGAAAAATGTAAATTAAAACTACTTTGAAACTCCATTTCTTACACATCAGACTGGCAAAAATTCAAAAGTTTGAAAACACAGTCTGAGAGTGAAGCCAGGGACACAGGTATTCCCACACATTACTGGAGGGAATGCAGAATGATACTTCTTTGGAGGAGAATCTGGCAGTATCTAACAACGCTTCCTGTGCATTTACCCTTTGACCCAGCAATCCTATTTCTAGGAATTGACCTAAAGATATACCTCCAACAATATGAAATCCATATGCACACGGTAGCATTATTTGTAATCGCAACATAATACCCACAACCCTAAGAGTTATAATAATATAATAATGCCCACACTTAAGAGTCTTTCTGAATAAACTATGGTACATCCACCCTGTGAAGTATTATAAACAACAGGAAAGCTCTATGAATGATATGGAGTGATTTCCAGGATACGTTGTTTAGTAAAAAAAAAAAGCAAAGTGCAAAAGAGAAGACAAACTAATTACCTCCCCCATCAAAAAAACAAAAACAAACAAAAGAGAAGATGTGCTTGATGTTGTGAAAGAATGAAAGAAATAAACTGGAAATATTCCTGTATCTGTTCATTTTTGCAAAAGGAAACAAAAGGAGGCTTACCCAGGGATTCTGGGCTAACCCAGGGCTTACCCAGGAAGTAATGCCATTGGTTATTCACAGGAGGTGGGCGGAATAAGGGGCAGAGGGAGCGGGGAGGGAGTGACACAACTCCATGTGCACCTCTTGGTATGGTTCTGACTTCTTCAGCATGTCAGTGTTTATTCAAAAAAATAAAACTAAATCAGCAAGGCTGAGGGGAAAGCCCTGAAACTGAATACAAACAGAAGTAAATGAGAATTTAAGTTAAATGGACAAATTAACCATACAGAAGGAAAAAACGGAATCTAAGAATTTTTGAACACAATATTTAGACTCTACAAACTAAAGAAAACCAACCGCAAAGAAATTGTTTGTTGGTAGTGGTAAGACCAGCGATTTTGAAACTACTTTACACTATAGGCTGAGCAAATAAGTGAACATACTTATGTTATTGGGAGCCAAGGCTCTTACTGCGGGAGAAAGGAGATATAAATATGCAGTATTAGACTGAAATTAGAGTATCAGTATGAACTCATGATTTAAAAATAAACACACACACACACACACACACACACTTCCTACTGCCGAAAGAGCCTGGAAACAGTGACATCCCAGAAGCGGTGCACATACCCAGGATCCAGATCTTGAATTCTAATTATTATTTCCTACTAAAAGGAACAGGAGCTTCTTGGAGAAATGGCTGATTCCAGGGTCAGAGCAGAGAGAGTACAAGATAAGCCTGCATCTTGTTATTCTACCAGAAAGTAAGGAAACGCTCAAGAAATGATGGCGAATGTCAAACGGATATAGGAGCAGGCTTGACAGGGCTCCAGTGGCCAAACTTAGGACGATATGAGCAACTGACAAGTGAATGACTGTAAGAGAGTAGAACATACTGAATAAAAAGACTCACAAGTCCACACTAACACAGGAGCCATCATCTTGGAGGGATGCTTGACCCTGGTCTTTAGGAAGTAGAACACAGAACAAACGAATGAAGGTGAGGGAAGAGAAAGCTCCTATTTATAGCAGAATGCTAACTAAAAGAAATGTAGAAATGCTAATTTTTTTAATGTAGAAGGAACAATAGAAAATTGCCATCACAGTAATAACTGATTCAGTTTAAAATCGGGAAAAGTACACTAAGGGGGAGGGTATAGCTCAGTGGTAGTGTCTGCCTAGCATACACAAGGTCCTGGGTTTAATCCCCGTTACCTCCATTAAAAATAAAAAAATTAATAAATAAATTAACGAACCTAATCCCCCCCAAAAAAAGCATACTAAAAACTACTGGGTGAAAAGTCTTAAAGTGTCTCCCCAAAAGTCACTTATCAATTACACATGGAATGAAGGTAACTTGTGAGTCAGAAAAACTGGTAGACAAAACCTTACCCAAGTAACCCTCACCAATAATGGAAAAACCACCACCAGTGACTTGGAGACAGACACGCCGCTTCTGGAGTACTCCGAAGAACGCCAAAAATAGCCTGAATCTAATCATGAGGAAACAAACTCAAATGAGGAACACTCTACAAAACAACTGGCCTGGAGTCTTTAAAAATGACATAAAAGACAAAGGCAGTTCCAGACTGAAGGAGACTAAACTGACGTGACAAACACAACACATGATTCTGGATTAGGGGGAGAAAGGCTGCTGTGAAGGACAGTATTAGGGTATCAGAAACGACACCCTGTGAGAATAGCCCTAAACCAGTGATCATTATAGAGTGCCAAGTCCCTGGGGGTCCAGGAGCCCAGTGGTGGAAGCTGGAGTGGCCCTGCTTCCCGTCCCTGCAGCTCAAGGCTCTATGGGTCTAGAGGGCCTGGCGCCCAGAGAGCACACCTTCGCAGTGGAGACAACCACAATCCTTTAAGCTATGCCGCTGCGTGACCCCTCAGGCTCCTTGTGCCAGGAGACAGCAGGTAAGAAAAGGAGCCATCATCTTGGCGGAATGCTTGACCCTGGTCTTTAGGAAGTAGGTTTGCTGTTACACAGTAGGGCTGGTCAGAATATGTTTGGCACCTGGGGGACCCACTGGGGCCTCTCTTGTCCTTCCCTGCCCAATTTTGATGGGCAGCCATAGCCTGGGAAGGACACAATGACCAGGAGCTCAAATCCCCTTCGATAAAGGTCTAGGTCACCTCATCAGGTAAGCTACGAAGACAAAGCAGAGAAGCCAGCTGAGGTGAGAGTGGGAGGAATGTGGAATGTAGCAGAGGAGGGAGATGACAAATGTCATTTGTGGTTCTGGGACCAACAGCAGCAGTGGGAGTATAGTGGCTGCTGTTGGTCCCAGAGTCCTGGAGAAGCCATTCCCAGGTGAAGTGAACTTATTACATGAAGCAAGCGGCTCTGAGTGGCACAAGGGGTGGACCGCAGTGAATGCGATCTAAGCCTACCGATCCTCTTCAAGAGCAAGACCCTCACCCTCTCATCTCCCAGGAGTGTTGGATGCTACCAGCCCCAGGATGAGTCCCACCCAGGAAATGCCCTTGTTCAAAGACAGCTGGCTCACCACTCCTGGGAATCAGCCAGAATTCATGACTGATCCATGTGAGGGTACAAAGGCCTGGCCCCCTGGCCCCCTGGCCCCCTGGCCTCAATTCAGAACCGGATATTCTGAAGGGATATCCAAGCTCCAAAACTCTCCCTAGGATCAGCTGAAGTTTCTGTGTGACTGCAAGGCCATTCAGTACTCGCTCTGCCCAATCGCTCCCCTCACTCCCTTGCAGGAGTTGTTCCTGAAATCGCTTCCCAATAAACTTCCAGCATCCAATTCTCCATGAGTCTGTTCCCCAGAAAAAACAGACCTAAAACAGCGAGAAACTAAGAAAACTCAAGTAGCATGAAAATATTTTTCAGAGATAACAGCACTAAAAGTCAAAACAGTCACCTGAAAGAAAAGAATGTTGCCTCTGGCAGGGCAGAAAAATTATGATGATGGGGGAACAGAAGAATGTTATGTTTATTATAAAACATAGAACAATTTTCTTCAAACTATGTGCAATTATGACTTTGCTAAGTATTTTTTTTTTAAGCTAGATTGAGGGAGAGGGTGTAGCTCAGTGGTAGAGCACATGCTCAGCATGCACGAGGTCCTGGGTTCAATCCCCAGTACCTCCATTAAAAATAAATAAATAAACCCAATTACCCCCGTCCAAAAATTTTTTTTAAAAAGGAAACTAAATGATGTTTCCTTTATTTAAAAGCCAGATTGAAATCCAAAAAAGGATCATGAGTAAAAATGGTCATTATGAATATTTAAGAAAACAGGTAACACACAGCAGCTGTCAATAGTAGTTACCCCTGGGAGACGGGCTGGAGACAGCGAGGAGGGAGAATGTTAGCTTTTAGTTTATAACCTGAAAAATAGTAACTTTCCAGTGGAGAAACCTGGCAGAGAGCTCTTTAACCAAGTAATCAAAGTTAACATCACAAATACTGGAACTGACCTCAGGTACTTCCTCATACGATGCACTAACAAGGAATCAATGTTCTTCTGCGGTACTCCTGCCAAAGCACATAATCTAAATCTAATCATGCGGAAGTGCCAGGCAAAGACAGACTGAGAAACCATCTTAAAAACAAGTGGTCTTGGGGGTTGGGTATAGAGCTCACGCTTAGCGTGCACCAGGTCCTGGGTTCAATCCCCAGCACCTCCTCCAAATGTACATAAGCGAATAAACCTAATTTCCTCCCTCTCATAAAACAAACAAACAACAACAACAAAAACAAGTGGTCTGTCCTCTTCAAAGGTGTCAAGACAAAGGAAGACAATAAAAAACTCAGAAACTGTTACAAATAAAAGACGACTAAGGAGACTCACCCACTAAATGCAATGTGTGAATCCTTGTAAGGGAAGAAAAGTTGTTAAAATTACTATAAAGGATGTTATTGGGGTAAGGGATGAAATGTGAATATGGCCTGAAGATTAGTTAGTAGTGCTGTACTCACATTAAATTTCCTGATTTTGGTAACTGTATTGTGACTATGTAAGGGAATATTCCTGTTCTTAGGAAATTCATACTGAAGAACTTAGGAGTCAAGGGGCATGATGTATGTTAGTACAGGGGGTTAAAAAAAAATGTGTAGTATATAAAGATAATGATAAAGCATAGGGGCAAAAAAGTAAATTAATGAATCGATAAAGGACATATGAGAGCTCCTTGTACTACTCTGGTAGAATTCTTAATCTATATATCTGTAAATTTGAAAATATATCAAAACAAAATTATCCAAAAAAAAATACAATAAAATCAAATGAGATAGTAATTAAAACAATTTATGAACTTCCAACTGCTTACTCTTTCTAATGGTTCTAAGCCTTTATAGTTTCAAAAATGCCTGCTCTGCCTCATTTGTTACTAGATCCTGGGATCCAAGATGCCTCAAATGGACTCAGGCAGAAACAGTCGAGGGCCCAGGATTCCAGACAGCTTCTTCTCCACCTTGCTAGGCCACCAGCTTCCCGACTGACCTGACGGAGTCCTGGTCACCTGCTGTCATGGGAACGACGTCTGAACGCAGGAGCATCTGGGTGCGGCCGGCGGGCTTGTTCCCGATCTTGATGTCCATGTACACCTGAGGGTTTGACCGGACCTATTCGGCAGGGGGCTCTCCCTAGACGCAGGAGAAATGGCCAGGTTAGAGAGAACTCCCTGACTCCCCGAGGAGAAGAGCGAGGCTTCTTCCGAGTCCACACCCAGAACCCCACTGCAGCAAGCAGGCTGAGCAAGGCGCTGACAGGGGAGGCCTTGGGCCCTGATGGGCTGCAGAAGGCGGAGGCCACGGCCACGGCCACGGCTCCCAGCCGGACATCTAGGGACAGGAGACCTCAGCACCATCTAGCGGGAGCCCCAGCCCGTGGGCACGTTACTCATTCCCTTGGCCACGCCACCTTCACCTTCACCCTCCCCGCAGTCACAGAACGGCACTTTTCTGGACCACAACACACAACTCTCAACATCTTCAAACCCCACCTCAAGCCCTCCCACCTTAGTCCAGTTAAATGGACCCATCTCTGTAGCACCATCCCCTCTGTGCTCAGCCCTGCACAGCCACAGGCTGGCTGCGATGGAAGCAGGGACGGCCTAAGTGCTCAGAAGACAATGGGGGAGGTTGGGGCGTTGCTTTGTGCTCCAGATGGATGAGACTGTTTAGACAATAAATGAAACACTCAATACAAACCCTCCCATTTGTTTGACAGAGGAAAACTCTGTTGTCTCGGTCTGACCCCTTTGTAATGTGGATTAGGTCAACAGACAGGTATGGAGCTATCAGGCCAACTCCTGGGCTATTAAATAAACAGACAGGGCTCTGCCCTTAAAGAACTGGCTACCCAGTAAGGGGGGGCAGCCACAACTGGGAGAGGACACAGATCCTAGAGCCACACAGCCTTGGTTCAAACCTCAGCCCCACCACTTCTGAGTTGTATAACGTCCAAAAGTTATTTGACCTCACCGTGCCCCAGTTTTACCATGTAGAATTGGGCATAATAATAGCATTTACCTAAAGGATTTCCAATAGGAGTAAATATTTGTAAAGTAATTAGTGCCTGGCATAGAACAAGCAATATTTAAAATTTGTTAAATAAGTAATGTCCAAACAATGTAGTAAATGCTAGGGTGGGGGTCTCATGGAAGCCCAGAAGCCATGCAAGCCCAGAAGGGACCCCTCTCACTCAAGCAAATGATTCAGAAAAGTGTCACGAAGAAAGTGGCAACTGAGCTCAGCTATGAAAGGTGAGTAGGAGTTAGCCAGATAAAATCAGTTGGAAAGGGCATCTGAGGCAAAGGAACTGCTTATGCAAAAACACAAGAGATCTGTAGGTAACTACAGACTCTGTTTCCTAGAATATAAAATGGGAGCTACAACGTGGCGAGACGAGCAGCGTTAGAACACGGAGAGTCCTTCTATGCGTCTGATGAAGCCTAGTCTCAATCCTACAGATGAACGGGTCCTTAAAATGCTTGCGGAGGGCAATCATTATCAGATCCGTGCTTTAGAAAGCTCCTCCTGGCAGCTCCGATCAGGAGGAAGCAGGCAGTTAGGAAACTACCCTCATTATTCACAGGAGTGATGACAGAGGCTGAACCAAGACAACGTGGCAGGAAGAAACAGGAGAGGAAAGATCCAGGAAGACTTAAAAGATAAAACGAGCAGAATATGACAATGCACGAGGTGTGAAGCCTAATAAACTGAGGTTTCAGGGTTAGGTGACTAAAAGGCAGCAAAATTAGCTAAGATGGGGCACACAAGAAGACCAGAGTGAAAGGAAAGTGGAAATCCACTTGGATATGCTTTGTTTACTTTTGGTGACTGTGAGACAGTCAGGCAGAAATATGTGAAACTGGGAGAGAGGTCAGGGCTAGGACTAGAGATAAAATCACCAGAACACTGAGTGGCTGCAGTAACTTCAGACTATGGACAAAAGTGGCTGAAATGCACAGTGTGGAGAGAGGAGGCGAGGGCCAAGGAAGGAACTCAGAGAAACACCACTATACAAAGGATGGACAGAGGAGGAGGAGGAGCCCCTGAATTGCCCTGAGGAGCAAGGCTCAGGATGGTGTATTGAGAAGCAGAAGGACGTGCCGAGGCGAGGAGAGCCCTGGACCTGACTACAGACTGGGGGAAGGGCCTCCCTAGAATCAGGGCCAGAATAGGAAGACAGTGAGCCAGGTGTCAAAGTCGTTAGTGAGGGAAAGGGAAGGATCAGGGGGAGGACGGGTGCCGGTGATGTCCTTTCTCATCTCAGACACCCTCCTTGTTCAATAGCCATCACAAACGGATACCCCAGAGCCCCACAAGAACAAGACCCAAAGGCTCTCCATTCAATTCACCCACCAATACCCACATCAGGAGTGTGCTGGGTGGGGAGCGCCAGCCTCTCTGGAAGGCAGACTATAATCTCACCTCCTGGGTTTTCACATTGGGAGGCTCTGACCCTTCCTCCCCTTTATTCTCTTCAAGAGTCTTCCCAGAAAATGTCTTCAATCAGTCATCATTTGACCAAACTGAAAGAAAAGAATCAAATGTTAAGAAATTCAAGCTATCAGCCAATTGCTCATTAGCTATGTCCAGTTCTTTGCTGCTTTGGTCAGCACTATGGGGACATATGACATGGCCACACAGGCCACAGAGAAGTCACCTCTTAGGAGCTCCCCAGGGCAAGGAAAGCTGTCACTGGGAAGTGCCAGGCCTTTAAGCTCAGCAATTAGAGCAGAGGTGGGTGAGAATAAGGAGGAAGGACAAAAGGAACGTTCCAGCCCTTGTCAAGGCTGGAAGGACACGGTCTCTGTCTACTTCCCAAAGCAAAGACTTTCACAGGGACAAGGCCTCTAGCTTTGCTGAGAACCTCACTCTTTATTTCCAGAGTGCTGCATTCTCTTCTCTACAATACACCACTCTACTCAGGGACATACTGCCACCTCAGCAGGAAGTCAGACAGGGAGAAAAATGCAACAGGGCCCAACGTTGAGGACATGATGGGGAATCTATGGTTGCCCCACATACCTGGTCTGGACGAGGTATCTTCCTTAATTCTCATTGGTTTGGCCAAAGCGACATGAATTGTGCCCCTCAAAGAGTTCAGGTTCATTCTGAAAAGACTGCAGTACCACTCAGCTGCTTAAACCTTGTTAGGCTGAAAGAAGACCTGACGGCCTTCCATTTACTTCTGAGAATCTGAGACTCGCTCGTGATTAATTCTAAGTTGGGAGCCTGCAACTCCAAATGGCAAGTTAAGCACAAAGCTCACCACAGAAGGCCCCTGAGCCACCACACACTTCCTTTCTTTTAGCACCAGCAACAGGAAGGTCTGTGCTGGCATGATCTTTGGATTTGAGTTCAGGACTCTGAAATTAAAAGGGTAAATGCAGTTACCAAGTACCTGAGTCCACCTTAAAAAGAGGAGATCAGTACTGAACTGGAGAAAAATGGTACTGATGAGGGGGAAGGATACAGCTCAAGTGGTAGAGTGCATGCTTAGCATACATAGGTCTTGGGTTCAATCCCCAGCACCTCCTCTAAAAATAAAACAAGTAAAACTTAATAACCTCCCCCTCAAAAAATAAAAATAAAAACAAATAGTACTGGTGGCTTTTGAGGGGCTGTTTGATGAAAGAATAGAGAACATGGAATGATATACAGGAATATTTCATTTTCCAAGAATAACTGATACTAGGAAAAGGTAAGTAGACAGTTTTTTTTAAGTTTGTTTTGGGTCCTTTTAGTTTTCATAGTTTCATGAAAACTAAAAAAATAAAAGAGAAAGAAAAGAAAAAATGATTCCTTAATTCAGTAAGATTTAGGTTACAATTACAGCTATGTTCTTGTTCTTGGAAACAAAGATGAATAAAGTACTAATTTTTTATTTAACTTTTTTTATTGCGTTATAGTCATTTTACAACGTTGTAATAAAGTACTAATTTTATTTCCAGTGATTAAGAAAAAACTGAATGATAGCATCAAAATAACATTCTTATTTCACATTTAGTCATGAAGACTGATCATAAAGATTTTTTAAAAGGGCAAAAACATTTAAGGGGTTTGTGGTAGGCACACTAATGGCGCTCCAAAGATACCCACCTACTCCCCAGAACCTATGAATATGTTATATTACGTGGCAGGAAAGAATTAAGGTTGTGAGTCAGCTGACCTCAAAAGAAGCATATTATCCTGGATTATTCAGATGGGCTCAATGTAATCACAAGAATCCTCTACATGTGAAGAGGGAGACAGAAGAGTTTTCAGAGTGATGCAGTGTGAAAACAACTCAGCTTGCCATCGGCGGCTTGAAGATGGAAGGAATGTGGTCAATCGCTAGTAGCCAGGAAAGGCAAAGAAACAGATCCTCCCCCAGAGCCTCCAGAAGGAACACAGCCCTGCCAAAATCTTCATTTTAGCTCAATGAGACCCACTTTGGACTTTTAACCTCCAGAACTGTAAGATGATACAATAGTTCAAAAAAAAAGAAAAAGAAAAAGAAAAAAAAAAGACCCTATGAACTCATCTACAAAACAGAAACAGACTCGCAGACGTAGTAAACAATCTTATGGTTACGAGGGAGAGGGGGTGGGAAGAGATAAATTTGGGAGTTTGAGATTTACAAATGCTAGCCACTATACATAAAAATAGATTTTCAAAAAAGGTTCTTCTGTATAGCACAGGGAACTATGTTCAATATCTCGTAATAACCTTTAATGAAAAAGAATATGAAAATGAATATATGAAAAAAATACAATACAATAGTGTTGTTTTTAACCCACTACTGTGTAATTCAGCAACAGAAATTCAAATCATTTTCTTCTGAAGCATCCAACCTGTCATAACCCTTGTGGTTCTCTCTTCCTCAGCTGTTAACTGGCTTACCTTTATGAGAGCATCACTTTTCAATGGCACAAAAGAGCGTCACTTTGTTTTAGCCTCACTAAATTCGTTGATTGATTGATTGTACTGGGGATTGAACCCAGAACCTCGTGTATGCTAAGCATGCGCTTCAAAAGAGCCTCACTTTTTTGACTAGAGCCACTTAACAGCAGTTTTCCACAGTCCTTTCCATATACTTCATAAAACCCTGCGTCTTATGCAAGATTCGCCATTTTATGTTGCAATCAATTTATACTCTATCTGTAGTATATTACCCTAGTCTAGAGATTGGCAAACTTTCTGTAAAGGGCTGGATAATAAATATTTTAGGTGTTGTGGGCCACATACAGTTTCTGCTGCATGTCCCCCCTACCCCCACCCGCCAACAACCCTTTAAAAATATAAAAACCATTTAGCCCACAGGCTGCAGAATAAATTTCACCCACAGACTGCAGTTTGCTGACCCTTGATGTATATACAAAAATATCAGGGTAAGAGTAGCCAATAAAGATGGTTTGTATTTATGCAAATATTTAATGGGGAGGATTTCTGAATAAGAATTAATTTTGTATGTAGGCAGTTCCTAGTGAATACTTTCAAATAATGGCAACTTTTGCTTCCTCGATAACTTTGAAACTGTGGGAAGTGGAAACAGAGTACGCACATGAGGGTCCCAAGTACCATGAAGCAGCTCCAAATAACAGCTTTAGTAAAAAGCAAAGATTCTCAGCCATACCATGTTGTTGACAGCTGCTGCAGCATCCTGCCAAAAGAATACAAGGAAAAAGTTGATGCCTGCCGTTCAATTCCTGTAGTTAGCACTCAGGTAAAAACTCAGTAGCACAAGCACTGGGAAAAAAGACACGAGTTCCCTTCCTACTGCCTAGACTGTGTGCGTCTAGATAGAGCATGGACTAACTGCTTGTTAGAGCTGGTGGTGTAAAGATGCGTGCTCGGGTTATGGAGACAGAATACACACAGGAAGCAGGAACTGACAATGCCAGGCCCAAAGGCTCGGGGCTCTGCAAGACCTTCTTTTACATTCTGACTGCATGAGGGGAAATTTGAGCTTGGCCTAGTGGGCCTTCCTTCAGCCAGAACTTTCCTGGCAACTGTCACCACCAAGCCACTCTAGGGGATTGAATAGTGTCCCCTCAAACCTCAGAATGTGACCCTATTTAGAAATATAGTCTTTACAGATGTAATTACTTAAGATGAGGTCACATTGAATTAGGGTGGGCCCTAAATCCAATGACTAGTGTCCTTAAAAATAGAGAGAGGACACAAGAAGATACATGTAGTGGAGAAGGCTGCGTGAAGACTGGGGCAGAGACTGGAGTGACGCAGTTACAAGTCAAAACAACCCAAGGATTGCTAGGAAGAGTCAAGGAAGGATTCTTCCAGAGCCTTCAGAGTGGCTCTGCCAATAACGTGATTTCAGACTTCTAGCCCCCAAGCTACAAGAATAAATTTCTGGATTTTGTTTTGTTTTGTTTTGTTTTTTAACACCTTTATTATGGTATGATTCCTGTGCAGTAAACATATTCCAGATGTACAATTTGATGAATTTTGATAGCTGTATACACCCATGAAACTACCACCACAATCAAGGTAGCTAACACTTCCATCACTCCCCAAGAGGTGCAAATTTCAAATTCCCAATTTATCCCTTCCCACCGCCTGTACCCACTAGTAACCATCAGTTTATTCTCTATGTCTGTGAGTCTGTTTCTGTAATTTCTGTTTTTTAAGCCACAAAGTTTGTAGTAATCTGTATGGCAGCCCCAGGAAACCACTACACCCACTCAAATGGAGCGGTACCTTTTGTAACCAATGACAACAGCAACGTTAGTCAAAAACCAAGCAGGGAAAATTTTTTACCTCTGACAACTCAGATTGAAAAAAAGTAAATCCTTGGTGCTTTTCTACAAGAGCAGAAATGGGTAGTTAATATGTGGGCAATAGGAAGAAACAGGCCATATCCAGATGCCATTTAAAAAGCAAAAAAAGTATATGGAATTCCTAAAAATCTGCTTATGTCCTGGTAAAATATTATCAGCCATAATCCAAATTATTAAAATGTTGTATGCTGTGGTAGTAGCCCAGTTTCTTGTCAACTGCACTGTAATCAGGTTTTTAACTGTGCCTCCTGAAGTCTTTTGTCATTCAGACAGCTATGGTTTTACTCTGATGCCTTTGCAAAAGTGTTTCATCTTCAAGAAGATTTATAGAAAGGCAGATTACAGTGCTGAACTGGGTAAGAAGTTAAAAAAAAAACAACAATGAAAAACCTGATGTTTTCAAAAAAAGTTAACAAAAGGATTGGTTACTGAGTAAACTGGTTAATATAATTTTTAAGGTTTTGGTCTGGAATATTACTGTTTTGTTTTTAGGGGGAGGTAATTAGGTTTATTCATTTTTATATTTTATTATTATTTTTAAGAGGTGCTGGGGATTAAACCCAGGACCTCATGCATGCTAAGCACGCAGTCTACCACTGAGCTACCCCATCCTCTTCTACTGGTTTGGATCTGTGTTTACCAGATATAGGAAAGCTCCTCCCCTCAAGTTACTCATGACTTAGGCAATTTGGTAAATTATACCTCTGCGGGTAAAACTGAAATATTTTTCTTTTCTCTCTGCCTGGTCCCTCCAGAAATTGGAGACTCTTGGTTCCAAGCAGCCTTATCAGGTGAATGCGAAAGACTGTCTCCTGTCACGTGGAGGAATCTTGCTATTCGGGGAACCTCTACAAGAGAGGAATTAGCTGAGGCAGAATCTGATGGCAGGCCTTTGGCATGGCTCTCCTGGCCTTGAGAAGCCTTTGAGGAATTTAGTCTGAGACTCTTTCTGAGGAATTACACCGGAGTCAGTTTGAAGGAGCCTATGTGGTCCACTGACCAGACTTATTTTGTAAATAAATTAGTCTTGATTTGGCTGTGTTTGGTGGGGATGAGGATAATTTTAGAGAGAAAAAGATCACATTTCAATAGATATTAAATTCCAGTTCTGTTAACTGAAGTCTGTGTTTATGAAAGTTACTGTATTAGCCGCACTTTTGCCCTGATGTTGAGGAGGAAAAGGAACTATCTAATGGAGCTGTCACAGAGTACAGCTACTCAGGATATACAACAAAGACTGCCTGCTTTAAGCCTGCTGCTAAAAGCACATGTACAATGCTTCTGTAGCAGCTCGGTATGAGTGATAAAATGTACAGCCCACAAAATGCTTCTCCATTAACATACTTCAGAGCCTGTTCACCATATCTAAATAGTTTTCCCCCAACATGGAAATTAGGCAGATGTAAAGCGGTCCCAGCACCAGGGACATGATCTGAACTGAGGGCAGGCAGCTGAAATACCCCAGCATCAAAGGACAGGTATTTTGATCATCAATGCTTTCTACTGAAGTTTTTGCAATCAAAAGGGGAAATGATGGGAAAATCTACATAGATAGATTTCTGGCTTTTGCATGGTTTGACTTAAACTTTACTGACCAAAGCAGCCTGTTTTATAGCCTTTCGAACATGCACTGTACGTCTGCTTTGGGCACAGAGGACGGGAACGCATTTGAAAGTCAAAACAGAGTAGCTGTGGTTAGACACCCAAGGTAAAACTAGGTGGCCATTGTGGATGTGGTTTCAGACAAGTTCCTGTATTGCTGAAAACTTGAGTTTTCTGAGCTATGTCAGAATTGGGACACCACCAGTCATTCTCAAAGCAGTGTCTGCTGGCAGCTGGTAGATGCAACCTTGTATTTTCAAGGTCTATTAAATGTTTAGACAATGAAATTGCTTTAGATCAGATTGAGACAGGAGGGAAGGGGTGGGGGTAGGACACAGCCATTAAAAGAATGACATGGCAATTAGCACGAAGATGGCAGAAAAGTCAATCCTCAATAGACCCTGAGGCCCAAGACAGCAGAAGATTCGACCTCCAGTGGACCTTGAGACATGATAGACATTGTAATGTACTTGCACGGTGAATGACACACCCACAAGAGCCATGACAGTTCTGAAGCTAACTATGAAATGTCAAAGCGTGGGCATTGGCCCAGTTCCTGCGAATCCCTGCCCCTTCCCCAAAGCAGCTGGAATAATCCTCTCACTTGTTAGCATATAAAAACTAGCAATACCATGCATCATGCATCACCTCTCTCTCTTGCCTTTCAAGAGGCCCGCACTCTGTCTACGGAGTATCTACCTTCACTTGAATCACCACCACCCCTTCCCCTGCGTGTACATCTCTCTAAATAAATCTACTTTTACTCAACTACGGCTCACTCTTGAATTCTTTCCTGCAGGAAGCCAAGGACCCTCACTTGGCAGGGCATATCCCAGGGACTCTACAGAGAACTGGACATGGCCATCCTCTCATGCACTACACCCACACTTTTTCCTCTATCAAGACATCAGAAGGAAAAATAAATACATAAAAGGGAGACATAAGTGCATGGCCAATAGCTCCTGTTATGTATATGTTAACCACATCAGAAGTTAAGATTTACTTAAATAGTCTTAAGACAAATGGGTACCTGGGTACAAGTCTCCCCAAAGTGCCAGGTCCAGACTGTGTTTCAACTTATTCTCTTGAATTCCTCAGGGAATGAGGTCCATTTTGTCTATTTTGTTTATCACTCCTCTTACTTCTAATTGGGTCTGCAGCACCAAAATGGTGGACCAAGGGATTGAGATCTTAATCATACTAGACTTGGATCCAGGACTGGGATCCAGGACTTGAAATTCAGGAATATTTCTAATTTGGCGTCCCTTCCCCCAATTGAGGCAAGATCATGCCCCATTGCATCAGGAAGCAGCCAGAGTGATCAACACCCCATTTCCTGAAAGATTTGGGAAAGTGAAAGAAAGGGGGAGGATTAACACCTCTCTATCCAAAATGTTATTCCTTTTCTTGTCCAATATCTATTCTCCTTAAGATTGAGGAGTATCAAAGAAAAGGGGGTACTAAAATGGAGCAGGACCCTGTGCGGTCCTCCCTGGTACAAATCCTTTCATGTTCAGTGTCTCTAGTTTGTAGGAAATAGGCTTCATAGCCTCCTTGACCTTCCCTGAGGTCCAAAGGGCAGATTCAAACAGTTGCTACTCAGGGAAGGGAGGGAATGTGAAAACAAGGGAAGAATAGTCAGGAAACAAGAGTGCAGCCCTGGGGCAGGGTCCTGGTTCCTCCTCAAGGAACACACATAACAGTATCTTTGCGTTCTTCTGCAGGAACTAAGACCCCCAGCCAGGTGGAAGACAGCAACTTCAGGCTGAACACAAGATTCCTGGAGCACCGCCCTGTTACCTCACCACCAACCAATCAGAAGAAATTCACACACCATGCAGCCCTCATTCCAAATTCTGCCTATAAAAACTTCCCCCCAAACCAGCAGGGAGTTCAGGTTTTTCAAGCATAAGCCACCCGTCCTCCTTGCTTGGCCCTGCAATAAACTTTAGTCCACCCCACCCCAATCTAATTTTTAGATTTTTTTTTTTTTGGTTTACTCAGCAATGCTTCCAGAAATATTAGTCATTTTGTTTTAAACCAACATAGCTAAATAGTGAACTAAGTTTTTAAACTTTGTAGTATCCAATTCTACCATTACAGAATTGAAGCCTTAAGTTACTTTACAAGCATTTTGATAACCTTTGTTTACAAGACTTATAGAAAGTAGAAAAAGTTGTTCATTTGTCAGTTATTCATTCCAACAGAGCATCAACTGCGTCCAGAGCACTGACTTCACTACTGAGTTAGGTGACTATTAAAGAAGGGAGCACAGTGCTTGTCCTCAGGAAAGAGCTACCTTAGCTGGTGGAGAGCAAGAACAACAGGAGTCACTAATTTACAGAACTCAGGAGTGAAACAGCCAAAAAGCCAATTTTACCCTTTCATTTAAGCATTGAATAAACGAAGGCTCAGAGAGTTTAAATGTCACACAAAGTTAGTGGCAGAGCTGGGTCTAAAACTCCTATCTTAGAAAATAACTGCCAAGGATCAAATGGGAATGTGCATGTGACACCAACGTGACGGGAAACTCACATAGGTGAGCTGAAGCCAAGGCACCGTCGAGGCTGAGCTTCCCTGCTGTCCTCTGCTACTTAAAAGCACAGCTGTCAAGAAGGGAGGTCTGGTCAACGGATCTGGTGGGGTACAGCTACCTAGCAGGTAGTGTGAAACAACGCCCAGATCTTTGAAGATTTTCCTAAGACTATTTTCCTACTGGTTGTTACTACACAATTTATATATTAAATGATCAGAAATCAAAGCTGCCCAAATGGTTCCAACATAGAGAAAGCCTTTCCTCAGATCCAATAAATTGTCTATCTCTGCAAATTTCAACCCACAGTCACAGTGAGACAGGAGGGAAGGGGGCAGGGCACAACCATTAAAAGAATGACAGCAATTAACACCAAGATGGTGGAAAATTCATCTCCCAGTAGACCTCAAGCTTCAATCTATGCCCACGGAAATACAGCAGCATGCTAAATGGCACTCCCACAGTTGCCATGACAGTTTCAAGGCTGACCATTAAAGGTCAAAAAGTGGGTGATGGCCCAGTTCCTAGGGATCCCAGCCCCTTCCTCAAAGTAGTTGGAGTAACCCTCCCACTCGTTAGCATATGAAGTTACCGAGCCCATAAAAACTAACCTCCACACCTTGCTGCCAATCTTTTTCCTGGCTGACCCATGCTCTGAAGCCACTGCTCTCCCTTCTGAGTAAGATGGCCTGCAATCTGCCTATGGAATGTGTATCGCCTAGGCCTTTCTCTTGCCTTTTGAGATGGCCTGCACTCTGTCTATGGAGTGTGTACCCCTCTACATTAATCTTTTTTACTCAACTATGGTTCGCTCTTGAATCCTCTCCTGTGTGAAGCCAAGGACCCTCACTTAGTGGGGCACACTGCAGGGACTCATCTGGGACCTGGGACACGGCCATCCTCTCACACCTCCCATTTTTCCTCTATCAACACCACCATCCTGGCCTTGTCCTCATAACATTCCTCTTCCATCACCAAGATCAGTCATGCTGACCCAGAGTGATATCTTCCTGAACTTCAATACATACCAACCATACACAGAATGTACATGACTTAAAAGTTTTCCAAGTTCTTTCCTGGCATGAGGCATCTGAACATGAGACGCTGAGGAGACTCACCTGTTTCATAATCCAATGGAATGTGAGTATCTGTGGTGTCTCCAAAAGGAATAAAAGCAACATGCAGGACTCCATCGTCCACCTCCTCTGCCAGCCAGCCTGCAAAGACATCAAGTGCCTTCTGAATCAATGTGCTCCACACTCTTGGCGCAGCTGCTGCAACGCCCTGTCAGCAAGAAAGCCACAGGAAGGGGAAGGAGGGGTCCCTACAAACAGTTGGGATTTTGGGTATACAAAATGACTTGTGAGGTACACTGCTCCCCCATCCCTCTTCAGACCTTACATCTAGCCCCTGCTTATTCTAACAGCTTCCTAAATGAGCTGACTGCTTCCAGTCTCTCTCTCCTCTGTACAGCCACTAGGATTCCGGAAAGGGAAAATCTGATTGTATCACTGCCCTGCTAAGTATTCTCCAAGAATTAACCAATGACCACAGGATGGAGTCTCAGCATGGCATGTAAGACCTTCATAGCCTGAGCCCTGCCCAACTCTTCAGCCCCTTTTCTTCTTGTTCCCCCAGTGCAAACTACTTGCCCCCAATTGCTAGACTACTTCACCCCCTGGGCTTTTGCCCTTTCTGCTATTCATTCAAGCAACAGCCTTGCTCCCATCTTAGCTACCTGCTTAACTCCTGGTCTTTCAAACCTAGCTCTGGCCCCTGTACCTCCTATAAGTCTTCCCTCACCTCTCTGGATGGAGTGGTCATTTCCCAAACAAAACCTGTCACGGTCACGTAGCGCATGCCAATCTGCACAGTGAGGCTGGTTCCGTAATTCCTGTTATTCTGGGAGTTCCTTCACCTAAGGGGTCAGAGCTGCAGTTTAGCCAATGAATGGACATTGACAGTTTGGGATGCAGTCTAAGGTCACAGTAACAGATCTCACTACCTCTCGAGGTCCATATCCTGGGCAGTGCTAGGTCCAGGAAAGCCGTTATATCACTGGCACTGTTCACAAGCTGAGGGGGTAAAGCACGAGAGACCCAGCCCGGGTAGCCGCACGCCGCCTGGGGACTCAGGTCTGCACCCAGTCCACGCTGCCCTCAAACTGTCTCAGTCAAGCCCTGCCTGTGAAGACCCTGCCTTGCCTGCATGCCAGCTCACCCAGGTTGAGCACCCTCTTGGTGGCAGCCATCTTGTTTCCCGGCTCTTCCTGGAAGTGGTACCCAGGCCCCACCCGTGCCCCCTTTCCCAGGAGCTTAGGCTCCTGCGTGCCCAGGACTCATAGAGCTAGGTTTGGAGGGGCAGCTTGATTAATGGAAAAGACAAACACACTCATCTTAACTGCAGACCTCAGGAAACAGGGGATCCTACCTTAGACTGGAACTTTTGATCAGTTATTTAAGGTGAGACCAGACCTTATGGAAAAGGGGTAGCCTGCCAAGTAGCTGAACCAGGCAGGAACAACCCAGGGAAAGGGACCACCTGGGGAAGATCCTAAGGACAGCCTGCCAAGCTTCAAGGAAGGGCAAAGTGTTGCTGGAGGACAGGGAGGGCAAATAGAGTTGCTGACCTTGGCTAGGTTACAGCTGACTTCGGCCACTCACACGTATCTCTAGAGCCTTTTCCCACTGCTTGTGGGAATCTCAGTTGCAGAATCTGGGCAAGCAGACCTGTGTGCAGGATAAACTGATAGGAGGAGAGGGGACTGGGAAGCCTGAAACAACATAGTCCAAGAAAGAGGGCCAGGTTCTGCGTATCTCACTATATATCCTTGGAACACACGCCAACCACCCCCTGCACCCAGCGCCAGACCCAAGGTCTGCTCTGATTGTACTAGACTTCTGTTCCCCATATGAAGGTCCTCCCGTAATAGAATGCAATGGGACAGTTCTGCACATCTTGCTAACCCAAAATAATCTGCTTATAACCATCAGAAAAAAATAAGCTATACAGAACTTCGTCTGACCCTATTTACATCCAAAAAACACTTCCAGTGAAAGCTGGGATTTATAGACAACTGTGGTCCGAGTAAAACAGAGGCAGTTTTACGGAGATTTTTTTTTCTTTATTGAGAAACTTAAGACTTGGTACATCAAATAAAACCAATTTCTTGGGGGGAAAAAAATCAAAACCCACAATAGAAAAAAAAGTTAACACTTTTTCTGGCCATGAGAACCCAGAGAATATATTCTTTTAATTGAAAAATTCTAGGCGCTTCATAATTGACCTTTTGATACAAAATGACCTATTAAATTTGCAATTTGTGGTTCTTGGTGTTGAGGTCCATAGGACAAGCTAGAAGTCTTCAAACCTTGAGCTGAATTCCACGAGGATTTATTTGGCTTCTGAATCCTGAAAAGAAAAGCACCAACACATAAATATATACAAAATCAAGGGGGGAACGACACAGCTCAAGTGGTATAGTGCATGCTTAGCACGCACAAAGTCCAGGGTTTCAATCCCCAGTACCTCCTCCAAAAATAAGTAAACCTAATCACTCCCTCTTTGTAAAATAAAAACAACAAAAAACAAAAACAAACGAAAAACAAATGCATAATCAAAAGAACCTCAGAGATGAACCCTCTGGCTGATATTCTATGTACAGAAACAAAAATGTCTCCAGATGTTGGCAAATGTCCTCTGAGGAAGCACCTCTGGTTAAGAATCAGCGACTTTGAAGCTAGCTACTGTATATAAAGCCCCACCTCCACCCTTCCTGGCCATCCTGTAACCAGTTTCTGTGGTTTTATTGCTTAAATTCCAAATGACAGGGCTCAGATCCTTAACAAGGGGGCCATGACTATGCCACATCAGGCCCCACCAACACACCAGCTTTAGCCCTTTACCATGTGCCCGTTTTCCTGGCCTCTGCCCATGCTCATTTGGTTCTCTCCTTTCCCCATCTGGAGGCACCTGCCAGTCCTTGTCAGAGGCCCTAGTTAAGCTTCACTGCCCCAAGTCACTGCAGACAGAGGCTCTGGCCCCCAAGTCCAGAAGTCGACAGAAACACACACTCTGAGTCAAAGTGTAGCCAGGTGTGTGTCTCACTCCGACACCAGGCTCTGTGCCCACTGTGGTCCCAGAGCTAAGTAGCAGGTGTACACACAGCTGACCTCACCAACCTTAAGCCAAATCAGGGAGATGTTCCTAGAGGTAAGACTGCGGGACGGGATTATAACGTGTATCTATCGTTATTTCAGATCAACAAGATGATTCTTGAGAAAGATCTAACCAGGTGCTTTTTGAAGAAAACTGTTGTTTGCACCTTCTAAATTATAAACTGTACTCTCTTCTCCAATTTAACTCATCTAGATGACAGAAAACCCCCAGGTGACAGCCTGCCCAAGTTATCAGGTTAAGGGGTAAAAACATGGCTCTATATACACTGCCCCTAATGTTTTAGGAAGATATTCACAAGTTAAAACCATTGCAGAAAACAAAAATAGCCAAACATACGGTTTGTCCTTGTCTAAGAGGTAGCAGCAGCAACAGCGCCCACCTTCTGGGCAGCTTCTTTCTTGGCATGATGAGCCTGCAGGACCGCCACGGCTTCATCCACCTGTGAGAAGTCTCTAGGTGGTCAGTGACATAAGGGAGCTCTCTGCCCATCCCTAGTGCCAGTGGCTTTCCAAAATACCCACACCACAGCAGCCCACAGGTTACAGGTGAGGTATGAGGAGGAGGCCCAGCGGGCAGGAGACCCTTCTGCCACCCCTGGGTGTCCGATGCCACCCATCATCCTCCTGAGCCGAGTGAGCTGAAGTCACGGGGTCTGAGGTCCAGCTCACCTTAGAGCGGAGAGACTCGGGGGACTCCAGCATGTGTAGCAGCTCCGAGTTGTCAATTTCCAGCAGCATCCCCGTAATCTTCCCAGCCAGGTTTGAATGCATGGTTTGGATGAGAGGGAATAAACGTTCACCTGTAGGAAGGTATTCCATTAAAAACCTGGATGAATCCCAGGAGAGAACAGAGGCCAGTAGTAGGCTCTGGCCCCCTCTTCTGCAAGCACATGGGTCACTCACCCAGCATCTGCTTCTGTTCCTGGGGGGGTGCTGCGGCCAGCATAGAGGCGGTCAGCGGCTCCTGCCCCTGCACGTGGACTGCAGGCTGGGGTGCCTGAGAACCAGGAAAGGCAGCGGATTAAGACCAAGAAAAGTGGTCATGAGCCCAACCACTCAACATCTGAAACGCTACTGAGTGGGAGGAGATGGAGATAGTTGTCCTTGCTGTCAGGGAACTGATTTCAGTCTTGGGGGATTGAGAGGGTGAGGGGAGGAACAGTGGCGTGAGCATAAAAACACAACAAACCACAATAAAAAAGGCATGCTATCCGAAGGGAAAGGAAATTAATAAGAAAACATAAACCTACAGTGCTAGGCAATCACCTACCAAATGATTTAAATTTACTCTGTTACAATGAGCGTAATTTATCCAAGGTTACCCAAGACTTGGAAGCTTTGTGAATAATAAATAAGGTATTGCGAACATTTGCATGTGTAGCCCTTTCCTGAAAGTTAGCTTTCCTTTAGGATGAATGCCCAGTAGAGACTGGGTTGAAAGATGTGACCAGCAAAACACTTTGACTTATTTATATTCCACGTCATCTTTACTGCACCAGATGCTTTTACTGTATCAAATGCTTGAGGACTGTCAGCATGCAATGTCAATACCAGCCACAGTCCTAAAAGTATGGCCCTGTAGGCAAAAAACATCTCAAAACAGTGCCAAGTTCTGGGAAATCTCCAACTAAGAGCATGGGACAGGAGGGGGGCCCAGCTCTCGAAAGCAGTTCTAGCTCAGAAACGAGCTGTGGGTCCAACTCCTTCACCCAACCTAACATCTCTGAAGCAGAACTCCCCCATCTGTAAGATGGGGTTCTTTCCCACCTGAGCCACCTTGTAGAGCAGCCAAGGATCAACTTGGCCACCGGCTGTGAAAGTGAAATGGAAGCTCAAAGAGCCGAGTGAGCTCTGCCTGCAGCCAGGAGAGCAGGAGCATGGCTGTCTCCTCTGGGCACTGCCGAGTCCACTGTCATCAGGAGGAACACCTACAGGCCCCTTCCCTCCCACTAGAAAGCCCCTCAAGGGCCAGGTCACCACACAGGACATGGCTCCCTGACACAGAGCAGGCATCTAATACCTGTGGAAGGAATCCAAGCAACGCAGCTTTTAAACCATGTGGAAACGGGGGATATGCTTTTAGCATCGTGTCTGGTGGACCTCACCTGCAGAGGCTGCATGGCAGGGTGAGGGCTGCGGACACTGGAGGCGTATTTGTAAGGTGCAACAGCCCGAGGAGCAGCGGCAGCAACGGCAGCACGAGGTGCCAAGTTCTGCACGGCTGTGGGGACGCCTTAGGAAAAGGACATGTAAAATTAAAGCCCATCAGTCTGGGCAAAGGCCCGTCAAATCCCATCTTTCCCCATTCTGTGTGCATCCAATACCACCTCCAGACTGGCAGCTGTCAGTCAGCCCTTGCTGGGCGGCACCAGCCCCACCAAAGTCCATAGCCAAGCGGTCCGGGCACTCAGACCCTACAACAGACCAGCAAATGCACATCAGTGTTGGCGGCAGATGTCCAACTGGCCACGTCCCACGGAAGGAGAAATTCCAAAGCATGGTCAAGCAACACACATCACACATGGGGCCACTACTGCTACTTTCGAGGAAGAGCCAACAGATAACATCTCTTTCCACCTCTCCGAATACAGGACATATTCTGCAAAAAAGCTCCTTGAATCTCCCAACCCCATCCAAAGAACAGGCTGCCTCTGTAGTAATTCAGCTAACAAACTTCTACAATTAGCCTTTTTCACATGAGTCGGCCACAGATGAGACAAAGAATCTTAAAAGGAACCAAAACTCAGAACTTATCGTGTTATCCCTGCTGCTGAAGTACCTACCTAAGCACACAGCTAGGATTACAGAACCCGGACCGGACAACGCGATGAGCCCAACGAACTGACCAACCCTGGCAGCGCCTAGTCGTCCTGACTCCCTCCTCCCCGGGCCACACTTCAAGGCCAGTTTGCTCACCGACTCTCTGAGCGGTAGTAGGGAGGCCACGAGAGGCCGGAGCATTACCAGTTGGAGCCAGATGGCGAAGAGCTGGACGAGGCCCAGACTGGCGGATAGCACTTGGCATTCCTTGGAAGCCTGGTGGAAAGACAAAAATCACACATCACTGAAGAACAACGTGGATCTGAACCTAGGCTGCACATCTCAGAGAGGAAGGGGAGGAGAGGCGGGGGAGACCAGAACAGTACACCCTGAGCATTAAATCACTGTTTCCCACCACCTACCTTGAGGTCTCCCACCTTGCTGCCAGCGTGGATTAGGCCTCATCTGTGCTAACTGGTTAGGTGTGTAATACGGAGGTCTTCCCTGAGCCTGTAAGAAAGAGGCCCCAAGCCCTTTTATTTTAAGGACCTGAAGCCACACTATAGAAGTATCTCATCTCTCTACCAGGCACTAGGCTAATTATTTGGGGCAGAAGCGCTCTCTTCTCAAAAGCTTGAAGGAGGGACAGTCAGTTAACGGAGATTCTTTTACTCTACCCCTGCCACTAAGTGTTGGCGACCATGAGTAAGTCCTTCATTCCATTTTCAGTCTTCACTCTGACGGTCTAGAACTCCAATATCCAAAAATCCCTCTCCTCAACCACTAAGAACTGCAAGAGCAGCTGTCAGTGGACAGGCTCCAAGGAGCCGTGAGCACAAAGCAGACCCACCTGTGGAACTGCTGGCACAAAGTAGCCCCCAGCTGCAGGCTGGAACTGATTTAAGATGGCGTTGGCGGGCAGTGCTCTCATGCCCGCGACCCGCTGCATATACTGGTTGGTCAGGTGAGCCTTTCTCTCTTCCTTTCTCTGGGCCAGGGCAACATACAGTGGCTTGGAGCCTACGATGCGTCCATTCATCTCAGTGACTGCTTTTGTTGCCTCTTC